CATTGCATCCAAGATGGTGGCCCCCAGCAGCAGTCTCCAAACATTTAGATGTCTACACAAGGGAGGCTTTTAGAGGCAAATAACACACGTAAATTATGTGAAATGCTCATATCATTTTTTTTCAGGAGTTTTTTGCTGAAAATGAATTGTCTGTCAACAGGGTCTCTAACTACAGCAAAGAAAAGTCAGGTCACCAGCCTGGCAGGACTGTGTAAATCTTAGAACTGGATGGACAGAAATACAAATCCTCTGTTTAGCTTTAAAACCTTATTGTTGTTTTTGCAGATTAAGACGCTCTCAGTATACCACGAGCTATACATTGTACATTGTGGTCCTCTTTTTGTAAAGCTTCTTAAAGCTCCTCCCCTTCACTCATTGCCTTTAATTCCCATTGTAAAGGTGACTCCTTGGAGTGCAGGGTTCTATACTCCCTCGCATTGCGTTCGGCTCACTTTTATGCCAGGCAAGAGGGGGCGCGGCGGGCCATTGAAGTGAATGGTGCCATAGCAACGCCCTCTGACCGCAATGCGATCGTCCGCATGGAATCACAGGGCACATTGTGCCTGCGGTCCGGTGCAATGCGATCAAAATAGTGCTTGCAGCATTTTGACCACACCGCAGCGGACAGCAGGCACAATGTGCCCTGTGATGTGCGGACGATCGCATTGCGGCCGGAGGGTGTGGCTATGGCGCCATTCACTTCAATGGCCCGCCACGCCCCCTCTTGCCCGGCAAACAAGTGAGCCGAACCCAATGTGAGGCAGTGCGTTCTGGCCAGAATGCACTGCAACTGGTGTGACTGGGCCCTCAGAGTGCACATTCCACGACCAGAAGTTTGGAAAAGCTGGAGGCTGCGCCATTTACAAGAAAATGTGATTGTTTTGTGGCAGAAGAAAACGTAACCCTTGCAGTGGAGCTACCCCCCGCACTGCAAGGGTTAAGTGCTTGTTTTTGTCAACAATCTAAAATAACAAAGAAATACTTACCCTAAGCTCAAATTCAGCTGGCTGCTAGACCGGTGCCTGCAGCCTCCACTCTGGTGATGGAATGTCCCTCAGCGTGCTCACATTCCTATACACTATATTGGATGTGATGACTTACGGGTTCTTAAGACTGCTGGAGTGGAGGGGGAAAGAGGCTACTGGGACTGGTCTAGCACCCAGCCGGGCCTGAGGTTTCCATTAGACTTTCTTTGTTATTTTAGCATCTAGACAAAAACGAGCACTTAAAAGGAGAACTATGAGGTGAGTGAAAATCACTAATCCTCATAGTTCAAGCCGACGTGTGACAATGAAACTATCACAGATCATCTCAATAGATCGGGAAGTGAGCGAACACATACTGTCGCTCGCTCACTTCTCGATCATCTCCCTGTAGAGAGCGGGGACTGTCAGTCACCGCTCTCCACAGGGATTCTCCCCTTCCCTCTCCAATCCTCCAGCACTGACTGGAGGAACGGATTGGGGAGGGGGCGGGCACAGCTGGCTCTGCCTCTGGATAGGCAGAGCCAGCTGTTACTCACGCAGCTGGGTGGATCTTGACAGTAATGTCAGGATCTGTCCCGGCTATGGCGCTCTCAGTATACTGCAAGCTATAGCTTGCGATATACTGAGCTTTGGGCACGGGAGGACGCTAGTATATGTCCTCCTGTGACCCTTAAGAGAACTATGAGGAAAAACACTTACCCCATAGTTCTCTTCTAACAATCAGTTACAAAGCCGTCCACAACTCTGCCCCCGGCTATATCTCAAACCTTGTCTCAAAGTATCACCCTAACCGTCCCTTCCACTCCTCATAAGACCTCTTGCTTTCCAGCTCCCTTGTCAACTCCTCCCATGCTCACCTCCAGGACTTCTGTAGAGTCTCTCCCATCCTCTGGAATTCTTTACCCCAACCTGTCCGTTTGTCACCCACCTTGACTGCCTTTAGGCGTTCCCTTAAAACTCATCTCTTCAGGGAAGCCTATCCCACCTCAACCTAACCGCTCGAACATCACATTCTCAAACAATTCATCCCCACGCAGTTCCCTCCTCATGTATCACTTCCCCCTCCCTTTTAGATAGTAAGCCCTCAGGGGCAGGGCCCTCCTTACCATCTTGTCTTGAATTGTATTGTGATTGTAATGTCTTCCTTATATTGTAAAGCGCTGCGCAAACTGTTGGCGCTATATAAATCCTGTATAATAATAATAACCCTTTCAGTGCGGGGGCATCACCACTGCAAGGGTTACATTTTCAGCCTCGTGTTCTTCTTTAAACAGAACTCTGGTTTAAAATTTTAACAACCCTTGCATAGGGGCTACCCCTGCACTGCAAGGGTTAAGTCCTCATTTTTCCTAGGGTCAAAAAATATATATTTTGCATTTTCAAACAGCCGGATATATTCCTTATTTCATTTCCTCCAGTGACGTTCATCCTGAAGATGATTTGGCTGCTGGGGCTAATAATCCTATTTTTGCTTTATGTATAGAAATCAAATCCCATGTGTTGGTTTATTTCACGGGCCCGCTGTAGATTGTGACACATTTAGCTTTTAAACAGCATAGTTTATGTAGTTTCCAGCACAGACATGTGTCCTATTGGGCTGCCATGCGGTGATGGACTTGTCCCTTTAGATCTCGCTGTGTCAGCGTTCTATAGACAGCACACATACGGCTTCATCCATCGTGTATTATTAGCAACAGGTATCTTGTGTAGCACTGCAAGCAGCTGAGACGTGACAAATGGACATAGCAGACCTCAGAGTTACCTTTTGCTGGCAACTGTTTCTGACAATTGTTTTCTCTTCCTGGAGGGGCTGCCAAATGCTACTCACTAATTTGAAGTCTCAGACACGCAGATGGCATTGAGCTGCTGTCAAAATACTACTGACAGATTACCATGCAAAGGCTCTACTAAGCGGCAGGCCTGCCAGCAATATTTCTTACTTCTTTTGGATGCTTGTGATAAATCAAGTACATATTCTGCTTTAAAACACTGAGGCCCCATTCACACCTATGCAGAATAACATGTTACAGCATATGGGAATGCAGGGGGGGAAAAAAACATTGTTTTTAATGGTACCTGTGCAGACAATTGCAGTATGGTTTGTTTAATGGCCCACTGCAATGAATCTATGCATGCAAAACAAATAAACAAAATGGGCATCAACACCTGATAATGCATACACATAGGTGTGAATGGGGCCATCAACTTGGCGAGTCCCAATAAGCATATTTTAACCCCTTGATGCCAGCCCATTAAAAGTTACTTACCAATGGGAGCCAGGAACTATCTCCCGATCATGTGACTGCCATGACAGCCAAATCACATGATTGGGAGCCCATCCCTGGCTCCCAGCCGTACCAGTGACTGGGAGCTGCCACTGAAAGCTATGTTACTGTGCTGGAGCTTGCAGTAAGTGTGCTTCCAGCAAAAAACAGTGGGAGCATATACTGTATATGCGTCAGCCAGGCAATACATTTGTTTCGCTGCAGATCTGTGTGAGCTGGTCTGGAAACTTGCTTCACATCTCTGTGTGAGGTGGACACACCTTGCACAGGTGTACCGAGGGGTGGTCATGCTAATTTCTAATGTGATCCCAACGTGCATCCACGCAGTACAAATGACAACACATACATCTGAAAACAGATCCAATGAGCACCTATAGGATATGAATGGGCACAGGTACCAACGAGCATCACATCAAGCAATGTGAATACATATGTGTAAATGGGCCCCTAAATTCCAATCAAAGTCACAGTGCCGGAAGAAGAGCGCTGTGTATAGTATGTGGCGTGAACGCCGCTAGGATTCACACAGCCACCAGCAGAGATCCACAAATAGTATAGTTTTCAACAGAGGTAATAAATGGAGGTACATTACGTTACTGTATTAAGCGCAGAGGAGCTACATCATCACATCTAGCAATCAGACTAAAATCTGCCTTACAAATTTCATGTAATGTATGCATGCATGCATGCATGTGAGATGGAGATTGTAAGAACAAGGATTTGTGTGGATTTCTTCCCGATGCTCCAGTTTCCACCGATGCATCAAAAACATATATTTGGATTTATTGGTCTTTATATGAAGTGGTCCGTGTGAGTGAATGCTGTGGGTCTCTCTAGCACTTTACTCCAATGTACATAAGTGTTTGTCATCACTTTAATTGCCAACTGCTTCCAAGTTCAATATTGATTTTTAGTATGGCACTGGAGCTTCCGGTCACACTCTGGTGACTGGTGATAAGGAAAGAAAAAGTAAAACAGAGCATAGAAGTGTAAGCATGTGTGGAGATCCTGAAATGACAGCAGTTCCAGGATCTCCACATGTGCCATTCTCTAATGCTTTACTTTTTGTAACTCTTCTCAATACATTTTGAAACCTCTCACCGTAGGCAGAGCTTGATGTTTCCCATCACTTGAATCTCCTGGGTAACCAGTGGCAAGACTCCCCTGAAGTAACCTTAAGGCCATAATGAAGGTGGCACTTTCTTGTAGCTTGCCGGCCTATAATACTTTCTTTTTCATTACCTAGAATGCATTAGGAAGAAATTACATTTCCACTTAGCTTTGCAATGACAAAAGCATTTAAACAGAACTGATAACTGGGTAGAGATTTTTGCCTCTGGAGTTCTCTGGAGACACACATGTGATGCGCATACTGTATACGTTTTGGGTGAAGTTTAGGTAATCGTACACTGTTTGAAATTTGAGCTGTGGGTGGCCCTGACACCACAATTGTCTGCCAAAACAGCGTTTGCATTCAATCAGACGCAGTCACTCTTCGGGTTCAGACTGTCGCAGCGTGCTGGCTGTCTAAATACAATAGATAGCAGGGGAGATTCTTCCTGCTGGGTGGAGGAGTCTATTATATTTCTCTTGTTCTATGCATGGCTAGCTTTAGTCTTCCTACACTGCCTAATCACAAGCAATGAGCAAACAGACTGCACAGCTTGCAAATACTGAGCTGTGTGTGGCCAGGCTTAGACTGATAAAAGATAAATCTCGGAAGAAAGAAATAGATTTATAAGCCATGACAAAGATATCTATTTACAAGTCTGCAGTAATGTAAAAAAGAAACACATTTATGGCACATGGATCAATAGCAATGAAGAACATGAGTGACTTCTATGAGGCTGTCTGTCTTATCAGCTGGGAATGGTAATGACAGCTCTACCCCAACAATATCACAGTCTAAACACTGTGTTTGAAATGTAACTGTACACTTCCCAAGTGCTTTATAGAGACAATTATTGTTACGCTTTCTGTACATTTGCTACTTTATAAAAATGACAACAGGCCTCACGATCAATGTTATTGAACTGTTCTTATAGCCCACTGCATTTACTGACATTATAGCTGTCCCATAATACACAAGACGCATGAAAGAGATCCTGATTGGTTATCCTGGGCAACAAGAACAGTTTTATCTTCGGACATCTGAGCATAAGGCCTGAAATGCCAAACTGTTTATTTAATGTTGCGCACAATTCTACGACAGTGGTTTGTCTTCATCTCTGCGAGAGCTTGCTCCAGTTCCTGGATGATATGGATCAGCGTGGCGGGGTCTGTCTGTAATACACTGGTGTTGACATCGTCGTTCTGCTTCAGGTGAAGTTTCATTGTCATGGTGGGTTTTACTTGATGCCTTAGACTTCTGCTTGCAAGCTATACGAGGACAAGGAAGACAAGGATATGAGTTCAGACTTCAGAAATTCCTACTACATGCATGGAATGCTATACTGCCTCCTGCTGGCCTTTCATAGCCACAGAGTACGGAAGAGAGGAGAGCTATTTAGCATGCTTTCTGGTTTTGTGATAGAAACGTGAACATGTAAATACTTACGGGTCTATTCACTAAGCTGCCATAGGCAGCCAAGTGAATGACCGACCTGAAGTGAGCCGAACACTGTTCGGCTATTCACTTCAGGCTGGTACGGCCGATGTCAGCCGTATATCAGCTGAAATCAGCCGTACATCGGCTTGCTTCGCATGGCTTCTGGTCGGCCGAACATGCTCAGCATGTTCGGCCGACCCGAAGTGCAGAAGGAGTTCGACTCAGCCGATCCAACATTTTTTTTTTTTTCCATTCAAAATTTTTATTTGAAAATTGCAAGTGTACAATGAGGCTCCACTGATCGCAAACTACATTGTAACAATCTTCAACATTACAGTTTACGGGTGTACAAAGAACACATATAACAATGAACATAGTACAAGACATAGAGAGAGGGGGATGGCTTCCCAAGGCCGGTTCAGATTAATTCGTTAGATATAACATAACAGCACTACATAAAACTTTGGCAGAAGATATAGCCCTTCCAGGCAATAGGTACAGTGCATGGCATGTAGACCGTGGTTGAACATGGGAGCCATCTCGGCGGCCTATTTTTTATAGATGAGCGGCATTCGGCTCTGCTGTTAGCAGGTAACCAGGGATGCTGATCTCTCTGCAAGTGGCCAGACGTAAGATCAATGCTGGCTCGGCCCAGCTGTCAGAAGCCAGCTTCAGCTCTAAGCGCGGCTCAGCCGAGCCGAGGCATATGCGTTCGGCTCGACTGAGCCGCTCGGCCACGTATTGTGAATAGCCCGTACATCACCCCTTCGGTTCTACTGAACCGAAGGGGCCCTGGGGCCGAAGCGAGCCGAAGGATCGGCCGAAGCTACGGCTAGATCCTTTGGCAGCTTCGTGAATTGACCCCTTACTGTTTACACTCAAACATCACTATAGTTTTGTACCTCACCATAACTTGAGTGGTTATCCAGTCTCATTGCTCTCCAAGTCGTATTCTATAGCAAGGCGAGAATGAGGTGATCCCTATCTCACACGAGGTAGAATTATAAATCCTTCAATTTATTTTATCATCATGACAATGTCATAAAATGCCAAAATGTTCAGGACCCCTCTTCAAGGCGACATAGTGAACACGGGTGACATAAGTCACTGTCACCCTAAAGAAGGCATTCTGTGTGACCCCGAAACGTTGGCATGTTTATGACAAATTGTGAGGATGAGACAATAAATTGAAGAAGGATTTATTATTCTACCTTGTGTGTGCTGGAGAGTTACTGATTCTCACCTTGGAGATCCACAGGGCGCCATCACTAAGAGTACCACTGTCTTGCAAGGTCATAACGCTATATGAAGTGCAGGTGACGCACAACACTATCCTATTCTATAGCCTCTATAGGCATAGTTTCCATATCTAACTCTTACGAGAACGAAAACTAAAAAGCCGTGTGAAAGTGAAGTATGTTAAACTGTGTGTGCTGTACAGCAGCAGTTCTGGATATACAGTTAACATGTGAAGCAGAAAGGAATGATTTTCATGGCTCCACTCACTACCCTTAAATGATGAATAAGCTCCTCGTGTTTGTAGTATGTGATTGGGACGAGGACATTTAAACTGCCTTCTGTTTGCTATGTTGCACTTCATGGCCATCGCACAAAGTGCTGAAAGCAGCATGTTTTAAACTTAAAAAGCATGCTTAGGAAAACGCTGTATTCATCAATTTTATAGTCTAGAACGACTAGGGGAAGGGTCCAACACCCGTGCAAATTCTTTTATAGTATTGATAATTCTTTGACCAGCAAATTTTAAACTCCTGATGGACATGCAAAGGCATTAGTGAATTGACAGAGGAAAACGACAGCACTGCTCATATAATGACAAATGTAGATTTCCGTTTTCTCACATGCCGTGGAAAAGGTATTCTCATCAAATGTTCTCTTTTATAGGCCACTAAATAAAAAGCAAACCACATACAAATGTATGTACTATACAGATCAAGGAACTAGGGTTAGCAGATTCATGATTGGTTGCTATGGGTTACTGCACATTGATACCCACACTGCTGCAATAGAAAACCCATTTAACCACTTGACTTCCGCGGTGTTAAACCCCCTTCCCATCCAGGCCATTTTTCAGTATTCAGCGCTGCGATACTTTGACTGACAATTATTCAGCCATACAATGCTGTACCAAAATGAATTTTATATCCTTTTTTGGGGACAGATAGAGCTTTCTTTTGGTGGTATTTAATCACCACTGGGGTTTTTATTTTTTTACTATATTAAGGAAAAAGTACCGTAAATTTTGAAAAAAAACCTGTTTTCCCTATGTTAAGCTATGAAAATGTGCACATAAATAATATTTCTTCATAAATTTAGTTAAAAATGTATTCTCCTACATTTCTTTGGTTAAAAAAAAAAAAAAAAGTGTAAATTAATTACAATGTGTGAAAGTTATATAGTCCACAGACTATGGTATATATATTGGCGGGGGAGGGCGGAGGACGGAGCCGCTGTCACAGAACTAATGAAGAGCAGTGAGGAGAGAGAGAGACGCTCGGCCAGGATCTGACAGCCGGCGCCTCTCTTTCCCCTCACCGCTCCGCCTTAGTTTTGTGACAGCGGCTCCGCCCCCTCCCCCACCCCCCGCGGCTGAAGTGCTTTGTGTCAAGTCTCCCGCTGCCTCTGCCCGGGAGAGCAGGGGGGATCCATGGGAGAAGCTGAGCCCCATGTGCGTGGCCGAGCGGCAGAGGATCAGTGATATGTACCGGTCCTGTGTGCAGGACAAACACTGGAGCGATCAGCTGATCACTCCAGTGTTTGTATAAATGAACAGGATGTGATTTACATCACTTCCTGTTCATTCATGAGTTTCTCAATGGGGAGAAGCACTCACTACAGAGGCTCCTCCCCATTCAGAAACTGGCAATAGTAAAATATTTTCTGAATGAATGGGAAGCCTCTGTGCTGAGGCTGAGAAAAAGGGATTGGAGGATCTTTAATTTTAATTTTCTATCCGATTAACCGATTAATCGAACTTAATAATCGGCTAACTAATCGATTTTGAAAATAATCGTTAGCTGCAGCTCTACTTGTGTCCTCAATTTCTTTTTCTATTTTAAAAGGGAAATATCAGGGGGCTATTTAGACCCCTAATAATTCCCTGAAGCAACCCCCCCCCACCCCAGTAAAAAGAAAACAAAAATAGTAAAAAAGGTTAAAAAAATCCTGGAGGCAAGGCGCTAGGCTATGGCTATGCTCCCACGGTGCTTGTGCAGCTGAATGTGTTAGAAGCCACAGATGGAAAGGGGCAGGACACCTCTCCCCATGTGCAACGTCGGCCACACGAGCACCACGGGAGGACAAAACGACTCCCTGCGTTCAGGGGCGGGAGGGGGTGTGGGGTTGTATTGAAGTCAATGGCACCGCAGGCATGCCCCTCACAGTGCGATCGCCCGCACCCGGAACGCAGGCACATTAGTGCCTGCATGCCGGTCCAGTGCGATCTGCAAAAATAGTGCTTGCAGCATTTTTGCGAAACACACTGGACTGGAACGCAGGCACTAATGTGCCTGGGTTCCGGGTGCAGGTGATCGCACTGTGGGCGAGGGGCACCGCCACTCCCCCTCCCGCCCCTGAATGCAGGTGTTTTTTCATTGGTAGATCTCATTGAGCTCGTCATTTGAAAAGTAGATCTCCAGACGGAAAATTGTGGGCGCCCCTGGCTTAGACCCTTTGCTGTTTTTGTTGTTGTTGCTGTCTTTGTTACCTGATATATGGAGATTTCCCATCACTTCCCGTCTAGTTGACAGGTGTGGCCAGAACAGGATATGGGGGCAAATCTTCCTAATGGAGCCAAAGACAACATTAACACTACTTTTTTTATTAAACTGGGGAAGCACCTCTGCCAGGTGTTGATGGCTTCCTGTGTCCCCACTATGATGAGTTCCCATCTCTTGCCATGTCTGATGGTTGGCAGACAGAACAAAAAACTAGGGGAAATATACTCAAGACACACAGAGAGCATTGGCAACCCATTGACTGGAGCTGGACTTCAGTCACCCATGTTAACTTAGCTGGATACATTCATGCAGCCACTCCTGTATGCTTGTTCACTTGCCTGAACGTCCAGTCGCCACTCCAGGTTGTGGTAATGTGGTACATCTGGTTCCAGCTCACTGAGAATTTGGCGGATCTCTTTCCTGTTATCAAGATACAGCTGGAGGAGAATTTTATTCAGTTCTTCTGGGAATCCCAAAACAAGCACAGAATCTTGAAAATCAATTTCTGAGACCTGCCAATACAGATGAGAAATTCATGAAGAAGACAGCAGATATTTAGAGAGTAGGCAGACTGAATACCAGCTCACTCACCATTAGCTTGGAGCTCTCTGTAAGAAGGTATGTGAGACCCTCTACAGCCTGCTGAATGGTGCTACCACTGACCTCTAACTTCCCTGCAAGAAAACAAATCCGATCACAAAAATGATTTCCCCACAGTTTTTATTCCTGAACTTCCACAAGCCCAGAGCATAATCTTGACAATTGGGGGCATTTATGAAGATTGGTTAGTCTTTTGCACTCTCCTATTGTTCTTCCTAGTTCAAACTTTACCAAAATAATATATTTAAAGCTGATCTCTGAACTGAAAATGTAAAACACTACCTTGGAATGGGGCTTTTCCTACACTGCAAGGGTTACAGTAAATACTTGTTTTTGCCTAGAGGAACATTAAAGTGACACTAAACTCAGGAATGAAATCTTAAAGATGCCTTCACATACCTTAACTATTCCCATAAATGTATCTTATTTGTGTATCAGTCCATAATAGAAGTCACCAGCACTCGATGTGTGCAAGAAGTAAAGCACTTTTTATTCAATCGTCAATGGGTGTCAAACAGCCTGTTTGACGCATGTGACGATTGAATAAAAAGTGCTTTACTTCTTGCACACATTGAGTGCTGGCGACTTCTATTATGGACTGTATCTGACACAGCGCCATCCGTGTTGTCACTTCAAAACACCAACCTTTCATCCAAGGTCTGTACGCTGTATGGAGTGCAGGTGATTTCGTATTATTATTTGTGTATCACTCGGCTGTAGATCCTCAAATCATCTCTGAATTGGTGCTGACACTGTCCTTCCTTCTGGAGGGCGGCTACTTTTGTTTCCCATGGTCCCTGTGTATGTTGTAAAGTAGCTACTGCTCCAAGCTCACTCCCGTGATAGACTACAATCTCAATACAATCTGAAATATACTAAACATGAGATTGTAGTCCATCAAGGGAGTGAGCTTAGAGAAGGAAGGACAGTGCCAGCCCCAATTCAGAGATGATTTGAGGATCTACAGCTGAGTGATATATAAATAAGATACATTTTTGTTAGTTAAGATAGGTGAATGCATTTTTAATATTTAATTCCTGAGTTTGGTATCACTTAAAAAAGAAAAAAAAAAAAAGGACAGCCAGCACTATCCTCTTCCCTCAGACACTCTAGGTTGTGGACGGGCTCTTGGCATTCCCTGTATTGGAAGTGATGACGTCAGAGTCCAACAGATGGATGGAGCTCTGAAGAAAAGTAGCTTCAGGTGACTGATTGCATGGAGAGGAGAGGCCTGCAGGAGCGAGGGATAAGGCAAGTGAAAACTATTTTAATTCCATCCAGGCCATTTTTCAGTATTCAGCGATGCGGTACTTTGACATTTATTCAGTCATGCAACGCTGTACTGAAATGAATTCTGCTAGCGTGCGCGATAGCAAAAAAAAAAAAATGCCGTCTAATGCGACTGTGCCATCCGTCCGTTTTTTTGCAATGGGCGGACTGCAACTGGTTGAAGAAAAAAAACAAGCGTTTAACCCTTGCAGTGAGGGTGGAGCCCAAATGCAAGGAGAGTTTTCACATTTATGGAAATCCAACATTATTTTATTTAAGTGTATGTCTTCTGCAGCAAAATATTGCTGCCATCTTGACTCCCAAGAGTCTGCCCAAACATTGTGAATTAATTGGGAAAGGTTTCAAGAAACAAGGGGAACACATAGGAGCTTTACGCTGAGTAAAGTTGTATAGTAGTGACCAAATCCTCGGGTTTCAATAAACTTAATTCAAAAAAAGTACAATCCCCTTTAAACAAGAAATCCCTAAAAGTGGAGATGGTCTGATAAATGGATCACAATGCGTAATATAATATAACAAAGTTTAATGATGCTAATATATATAAAGACACCTATAACAAGACATTTAAAACCAATTAAAAAGCTTCCCTAGAATCACCTGAATGTAAAGATACGGGTATTGAACATTTGAATCTCCTATGGGGTAGGAAGTCTCTGATGTGAGTAAAAAAAAAAAAAAAGGAGATATATCACCCAAGTAGAAAAACGGAGCCGTACTCACATTGTACGCGGCCGGTAAAGAGTAATCCTGGTTAGATCCCACAACGATACATGCATGTAGTTGTTTATGGAAAGAGAGTATCCTTATGGAACAATGTCACTGAATGGGATCTATTTCATTGGTAAACTTAGACTCCCACCGCTGTCCGAGACGCAGGGTTATCACCCCAAAAGGAAAGAGCCTCCAGAAGGGTCTTTCAAAATGCACAAGTGTGCTGATGAGTGGAGTATAGTGAGGTTTCCGCAGTAGTGTGTCCAATGACATGGCACGGGATGGCAGCTGCAAATAATCACACCGGCATTGGCTCGCCTATGTCTCCCGATTCAGTGCCTTCGCTGTAATGGACAGACGCTCACTCCTGTCTCCCCGGCTTAGCTGTAGCAATCAGAAGCCGCTATCATTGTGTGCGGCAATGTCCGCATCAGATTTGATAGGTCCACTCCCTTCGGTGGCTGTAGAGATTCGTAGTTTATCGTTCTCACCCGAACGTATAGAGGTCGGCACAGGGTGTCTAGAGAAGCTGAAACACACGCTATCCTGACGCGTTTCCCCCCGATGGCCGGGGCTTCTTCAGAGGGGCGTGTGTGTAAAGTCCTGCATAGGTGTGTTTAAGTAGTCATACTAATAAGAGCTAATTGGTAATTCATTATCCAAAAGAGGATACAGGCATGTAGTTCGAATAAATTAATTATCCCCAATACAATTGAGTACAAAAACATCCATGTAGTCAATCTAACATCGTTTTTTTTATATACATATGAAGATAACATATAAAAATAAATAAATTGATACATACAGATAGGGACAACATCTCATAAATAGAGCATTACACAAGATCTCTGATCACCCTTATAATCCTAAAATCAGCTCGATGCAGAGGGCAAATGAACAAAAAGTCCCATCCCATCGGGGAAAGCCCAGACTGATATTGTCCGCATCAGATGTCTAAAGCTGTGAATCCGTATAGGGTCATGGTAGTGATCCAATGTAAGAAGCTGGTCTGTGTGCACTCCGGATTTTGATGGATCAAACTTACATTAAATTAAATCAAAGCATGTAATAATGAACACGCGAAAGTGTGTATATATATATATGACCAATGATCTCCCTTATTGAGCTCCCAAATGGGTGCACAAGGGGAAAAAAATCTCCCCATGGAAGTATCTGATTTCATGAGAAAAAGATGCCCATGATGCACAGTCCTAAAAATATAATTTTTTTTGGATATTATTAAACCATCAGAGCCCGGAGCCCCAGAGAGTCATCACAATACTTAAAATAGTATTCCAATGCTTGAGTGTACCCTGTTCATAATACTCCAACCTAATGGGGTAAATAAATAAGATAACGGAGCGCTATGTCTGAATGCCACTAGGTTTCCAAAAAACAACTAAAATTAAATCATGTCATTCAGTCCAGGGGGTTCATGAGAGGCAGTTTGATGAATCCATCTGCACTCCCTCTGTAGAAGAGATTTATCCCAATCCCCCCCCACGTCTTTCCTCTGACACTGGAAGGTGCCGGGATACTTACAGCAAGGGCCATTCATAGTGAAGAAGTCACTATTCGTCAATTTATCCTTAAGGGAGGGACATCGTCGGTAAGTGATGGTAGGTCTAGTACTCAGGAATTTTGAAATTCTATAGTCCCTAGTTAGACAGTGCCAATGTTTTTGAAAAATCCTCGATATTTCTTTATGTTGGTTGTTAAAAGTCAGAATTGGTCTCACAAAGGAGTCCTCTCTCTCAATTTTATGTGATTTTTTGTTATTAGCAGGTAAGTTGGGTCCACCCTTTACTCTTTGATATGCCTTTTTAAGTATTTTGTTTGGATAGCCCGTAACCTCATCCTTAGATTCTGAGCCTCCCTTTCAAAGTCAATGTCCATAGTGCAGTTCCTTCTGATCCTTAAATACTGGCCATATGGGATACTGTTCTTCAAATTTTGTGGGTGGGCACTGCTAGCTTCGAGGATGGCATT